TAAAGTATGGTAAAGTATGGCAAAGTATGGCAAAGTATGGTAAAGTATGGTAAAGTATGGTAAAGTATGGTAAAGTATGGTAAAGTATGGTAAAGTATGGTAAATTATGGTAAAGTATGGTAAAGTATGGTAAAGTATGGTAAAGTATGGTAAAGTTTGGTAAAGTATGGTAAAGTATGGTACAGTATGGTAAAGTATGGCAAAGTATGGTACAGTATGGTACAGTATGGTAAAGTATGGTAAAGTATGGCAAAGTATGGTACAGTATGGTACAGTATGGTAAAGTATGGTAAAGTATGGCAAAGTATGGTACAGTATGGTAAAGTATGGTACAGTATGGTAAAGTATGGTACAGTATGGTAAAGTATGGTAAAGTATGGCAAAGTATGGTACAGTATGGTACAGTATGGTAAAGTATGGTAAAGTATGGTAAAGTATGGTAAAGTATGGTAAAGTATGGTACAGTATGGTAAAGTATGGTAAAGTATGGTAAAGTATGGTAAAGTATGGTAAAGTATGGTACAGTATGGTAAAGTATGGTAAAGTATGGTAAAGTATGGTAAATTATGGTAAAGTATGGTAAAGTATGGTACAGTATGGTAAAGTATGGTAAAGTATGGTACAGTATGGTAAAGTATGCTAAAGTATGGCAAAGTATGGATTTTGCTATCTGTAGTTACCATACTAAAAACCATATTTTACCATACTTCCTGTGTGTCGCTGTCGCTTCTTGGATTCTTAGGACGGTGGAATGTCAGGATTTCGACACTTACGACCTGGTCGACAGCTCCAGAAACCACTGTCACTTGGCGGGTTGGTTGGTGCTTCACCATGGGAAATGGAGGTTTCCTAAACTGGTTTTGTAGCCCAAAATCCATGGCTTTCAATAGTAAAAATTATAAGTAACATGATCCAATTTTGAATGATTCGTGGTACTTTTTCAGGAAACAACCAAATGGTCATACGGTCATACCCCAAGGCCCTTGGGGGTGTGTTTTCATCATGCAAAAGAAGTCGAAGAGTTCTCACCAGGTGAACGGTTGTTCTTCAGGGACTGGCCTGCAGATCCTACAGTCGGACCGTGGGACCGTCAAGGAATTACTGTAATTTGATTAAAATCCATCAAGGAATCCCCTAAATCATGGTATATGGTGGGATGACCATACCATACCGATTAAATCATATTATACCTGTCTGTCTGTTTGTCTATCTATCTATCTATCTATCCATCTATCTATTTATCCATAGTGTTAGCCTCGTCATTGACCGTCCTCCAGAAGTCCATCATCTGCTTTCCAGGCTACGTGGACAAAAGACTTCTGGGCATCGAGCACGAGAAGATCACCGCTGTGTGGAATGACATTTGTCTGCACCGGGGGCACCGGGGGCACCGGGCACCGCGGATTGTTGGGAAATCCTGCACCACCAAAAGGATGGTTGAAACCCTATGAATAATGGGATGTTTACCACCTATCAACTGGTGATAGACCCATTGACTATAGATATATCATGATATATCTACAATCAATAAGAGAAACATGTTGAACCCCTATGAATAACGGGATGTTGACCACTAATAAAAACTGGTGGATTTCGCGACCATCCACAGTGTTTCTGTGAAAGTTGGCTGTAAAGATTGGTGGATGCAAAACCTGCATAGAGGGACACTGAACTCCAGTTCTTGTCCAGAGAATAATCGTGAGATCATGACATATAATATAGTACAATAATGATAATAGGATATAATAGGGATGTATTATATAACAGTAGTAATTTAGTGGTAATGATAACAGTATATGAGAAGTGTGTGTGCAGTGTATGTGCGTCTAAGGAAACGCAAAGACATAGCTTTGTGGGCCTGTTCTTCATTGTCTCTCGGCAGATCTTGGCAGCATGACAGTGGAGTGTTGACAGTGGGCCTCCAGGGACATCCCCCAGAACTTTTCGGCCCGGGCCCGGGCCCTATCCCAGTTATAACATTTCCCATGACGGATCCGGTTGGTGCTGGTATATTAATGATAACATGACTGAGGTATATTGATGGGATCCATGGAGCACCATATATAGCAGCACCGTTAGGATCCGTCATGGGTATAATTACATGCAGAAGTTATATGAAAGACTCACGTCGCTGGTACGAGAAATTTCCCCTCGCAATCACCCAACAATCAACCTCAGGCCATAAACCCGGCCAGTCGACTTGGGTGATGTCACAAACCCCAGCTTCGACAGTTGACTATTGGAGTGGCGGGAATAATATCCATCAATTCTATCCTCTGGTGGGATCACGTTTATTATATCTGGTTGGTGGTTTGGAACATGAATTTTATTTTTCCATTGAGTTGGGAATGTCATCATCCCAACTGACGAACTCCATGATTTTTCAGAAAGGTAGGTCAACCACCAAGCAGTTGTTATCCCTGGTGGTTTTCAGGTCTTGACCTATGCTGTGTCGATGCTTCTGCTTGAATGGCTGGTTCCAGTGTCCCGGCTGCCGTGTTGTTTCACCACATGGGGAGTTTCACCATAGGGTCACGGCTTGCTATGGGAAAATCCAGCATTTTTTGGGTTCGGTAAATCAACGAAGTAAATGGATACCCTCTGGTAAACTAAGATAACTATGGAAAATTGCCAGTTTTAATGGGTAAATCCACTATACATGGCCACGTTCAATAGCTATGTTAAGTTACCAGAGGCTGCTTTTTTTCAACATCATGTTTTCGAAAAAGGAAAATGCTGGTAACTTAAGTGTGACTGGTAATTGATCAGGAATCGATGGGGAGTTGACCAAAGGTACGACTGGATTCTCTGATTTTTGACAAACCTTCGACTTGTGACAAGTTCTAAAAAACCCATAATTAGGATCCATTTAAGTGCTGCTATTTTTTTATGGTATATAACATGGATCCCATCAACAAAATACCCCCTCCCAATGTTAGCATTACCAGCACCAGCCGGATCCCAAGGGTTCTGGACCTCAGGATCTGGTGGTGATCTCACTCTTCAGGCGCGGAGCGTAAGGGAGCGTATTCGGAGCGTAAGGTGGTCATAAAAATGGGCGCTTTCTCGTTCATGTGAATATATAGATGTTTAATGATGTTTAATGATGTTTAATGATGTTTAATGATGTTTAATGATGTTTAATGATGTTTATGCCAATGGGTTTACAATCCATGATGTTTTTTTTATACGTCAGGTTTACCAATCTTGGGGTATCAGAAATTGGTGATATCACATCACTGCTGATTCTGGGAAGATGACATCCTGGACAGCCAGGCGCTACCTTCAGGTCGCCTCAATAAAACGAGTGTAGAAAAGAAAAGATATTGGAGGCTAAATCCAGAAAGACTAACATCTAGAATCTAGACTCTATTTCTGGACTTCAGGACAGCTACTTGGATAGTAAATGATTAAAATCCTGGCTTACGATCTATGATGATCCATGCTATTCCCGTTGGATGGGATTTTCCCCCATTTCGTAATTTCTATAGTTTCCACTAGACAAAGTAAGTCAACATCATTTGGATTCCATCAAGGACTCGGGAAGTTGGACATGTCCATTACCCTCTGGTTATGACTAACATAGCCATGGACAATCACCATGCTATTAATAGGTAAACCATCTATTTCTATGGGCCATGGCTTCCATGGCTATGTTAAATAACAAAACGGTACCATTTGCAGATACGGACAGTACGATATGAACATATGAACAGAATCCCATGTTGTGGGACATTCCAATAGCTGAAACTGGACAAACAGCCAGAAATAAGTGGTGGTGTTTTCCCGTACAAAAATGAAACAACCAGTTCTGGTTGTTTTCGCCACCATATCCCATTCAAAAATAAACTATGAATCATTAGAAGCACGATAGTTTGATGGTCATATCCATTTTTGAAGATGAAGTCAATGATGTTCATCCATTCACTATCATTCAATTACATGGTTTTATGGTTTAATTGATGGTATTTCCCTCATAATTTTAAGATCCAAAGAAAATCCAGTGGTTTTGCCCCCCTTCATATCCCATCAATTATACAACTATCCCATTAGAAACAGATCTTTTTCGATATGCCAGTGGGTTTGCCAGTTGTTCCAAAACCGTGCCGTCCCTGCCGTGCCAGGTTGTTCTTCCAGGTTCTAGAACCTCGGCTACGTTGGCTACGTTGGGTAATTGAGCCATGAACAATACCAGGATTGATTAGTTATTCCATCAGGGTACATTAGGGATGATATATAACCATGAGTATCTGGTTGGTGGTTTCAAACATTTTTTATTTTCCATAATATTTTGGGAATAATCGTCATCCCAACTGACTAATGTTTTTTTCCAGAGGGGTAGGTAAACCACCAACCAGATGATTATATTGGGGATTACCAATTATGAATATGACTACATCAGCCATCAAAAATTGAAGTTTTAGTATACTGGGGTTAGTGCGGATGAGGGAACCCATAGTAGGGACACTGTCTTCAACCAACTGGTATTTTTCATGGCTCAGCTGGGTTTTACCTGCTAGAACTAGCGATTTAACCAACGAAACATGTTTTAAAAAAAAGCCAATAAGCAGCACTAGATTACTAGATTCCTTAGATTCCCCATAAAAATGTCTAGATATGTCTAGATAGTATCTAGATGTATCTATGTTTATCTAGATTTGTGGATCTTTATGGATCTTTGATGGATGTCCCCAATGATCCCACAACTCATTTCGCCCCGAATCCTCTGGAGGTATCAGACCTGCGTTTCTTGCGGTGTTTCGTATAGATTTTGATAGTTCTCTATTTGACTGGCTATTGGTTAGAATACCGTTTCATCATGTTGAAAATCGCTGTGCGCAGTGTTTTGTTGGCATGATTCTACTTAACCCTATGTGGTATTGATTGCACTCTTTATCGTGATGCCATTCTCCACAGAAAGTGGTGAGAGGTTTGCCCATTGAAAATCATTATATTTAGGGTTTGCTTGCTGCTGGTTCTGCCTGCTTCTGGGTTCTGCCTGCTGCTGCTGAGTTCTGCCTGCTGTTGCTCTGTCCTGCCAGTAGTAAAGCGACAGTAACATGATAGTAAAATGTGACAAATCATATGTTGCATGGATGATGATTTATTGCTTTATTTATCTTTATTCATAATATGGAGAATCATCCCCAACACGGCTCCTATTTCCAGTTCAGGATTGATCGTCGCCCAGACATACCAGGGCCAGGAGCAACATGAGCAATTGTGGTTCCCGATTTGGCGTTTAGATCTCTGTGGTGCTATTTCATGATGTATTTGTTGGTCAATGCAGATAGCCTATGGTCATCACACCCAGCAATGGGATACATAGCGATGTTTTTTCCCTTGCCATATCTTGTCATGTTTTTGATGAATGCAGATACACCTTGATACCCATCTAGCAACACAGTTAAACGTGTGTTGGTTTACAAGCCCATAACTGCTTAAGAGATACATCCACCATCCATCCCTTCGCCTGGTTTTATTCGTCCCCAGTTACAACTGGAATCGCTACTGAAACTGGTTAGTGAACTGCCAGGCACAATCGCGCGCTATTTAGCAACTGGTTACTAATCATATCTAATCATCCATTTCGCAAGTCAAATAAGTCAAGTCCTTGAAGCGGCTGGAATCCCAATGGCCGCGGCCTATCCCATGGTTGGGCGCCTGGGCAGTCCGAGGTGCCAGGGCTCTTCCTAGTCCACGCCTATTTCAAACTGCGCAGCGAGCTGCAATGCCTCTGCGCTCCTTGGGCCTGAAAATTTGCTAAGTGGCTTCAAATCCCAGCAACATGGCAATTTGCAGCCAGTGTTTCTACCCTCTGGTAATTTAACATAGCTATTGAAAATGGCCATTTATAGTGAGTTTTCTCATTAAAAATGGTGATTTTCCATAGCTATGTTAGTTTACCAGAGGGTAACATTTTCAAACTATTCAGCACCAAAAAGGGGCTTGGATTTGAAGGGTTTACTTACCAATATGTAATATATGTGTCTAACATGTTCTAACTATAGGGACTATAGGGGGGGTGAACCAACCCACTTGCTGTCGCTTTGTTTACGAACAGCGGTGCAATGAGAAGTCCTGATACGGCATATCAATGCACTTTGTACCTGCGGTCATTTCGACAAGCCGTATGCTCAGAGCGATCCATCATACATGCTTTAAACTTCAAATTATATTGACTTATTGCAGTTGAGATGACTATTGCTGTTTGCATCTCAGTCTTCAATCATGGCTCATGTACAACATCTGGTAGGGATAAAGCTGGCTTTGTAAAGCTGATTTCCTGTCGGATGTTTGGCAAACTTGTTGGTTCCAGCTTTCAATTTTCAAGTGTTTGTACAAAAAATATTCAATCTTCCAGATCTCTCAGTCACAATTCTTAGTCACATGGTTCCCATTTCCATCCATTTCCTAGATCTTTCAGACTCGAAAACAACGGCAGCCTCAGGTTTCTGCGGATTCAGGACGCGTGGTCCAGCTCTCACGGAACCCACCAAGTGGCTTGGGCTTGTTGGGGCCCTCAGCAACTCGTGGATTCTGCAGGCCCCGAAAAAATTGAGGAAATCGGGCAATCTTACCTCAAATCTACCCAGTTCTGGTAGGGAGTAAGCAATTTTCATAATTGTCCCATGATCCAACTGGTGTATCATTAAGGTTGCTTTGAACTTAGATCATGATTTATATTTATGAAATTCTATAGGCTATGCGGCTATGGATATGTCCCCGTGAAATCGTTGCTTAGAGCTTAAACTAATAACATGTTTCTACATCCATGATAATTAATATATGTGAATATATATATATATATATGACAATAGATGATTAATGATTCATAATAAATAATAACATATATTGATATATATATATATATATATATTTATTATACAGTATTATATGATTAATCTATAGCTATATTAATATAGATCAATCCCCCACGATCTCCCCAGCCTTTTCCAGGCTCTGTCCGCACTTCTACGGCGGCACGGACGTGCGTCTGGACAACTTCATGGTGGGCAAGGCGGGAGGGCCCCGGGAGGGCGGGACCATGGTGGGATACCAAACATCGAAGTAGGTTAAAGCTGATTGATCTTGGTTAATGATGGTTACCCTCTGGTGAACTAACATAGCAATGGAAAGATCCACCATTTTTAATGGGAAAATCCACTATGTCTATGGTCATTTTCAATAGCAAACTGTTAGTTTACCAGAGGGTATAATGTTGATTCAAAATGGTTATAACTTATAATTTATAACGTTGATTGATGTTGATTGATTTTGATTAATGATGGTTGATGGTGATTTTTTTAATGGTTTCTATTAAATGGTTTTCAAAATGTGTTTCATCATGGTTTCTCATGGAATTACTGGTGTCATCAATCGCGGCTTGTTGCTGGACCATCCCTGATTTTGGTCAAAGATTTTCCCAGGGAACCAAGCCTCCATTTAGTGTTGGGATTTTCCAGCAAGTCACGTTTGATGACACCGGAGTGTAGCCTT